AGCGGAGGCCCGGGCGCAGCGGGGGAGGGGCGGGGGCAGCGATGGCGGCCGCATGCCACACCAGCTGGGCTCGACGCATTGCTCGCGGCACCGCTGCGTCGACCCCCACCCCTTCTCTTAAAGTGAAGTCATGCGAGTCCCTGCCGTTGACGCCTCTGGCCCGCCGCCCCCGTCCCCAGCACACCCTGAGGTCCAGACACTTGTTATCACACAGCAGGCCACTGGTTTATATGCACCCCCCCCTCCCCCCCTCCCCCCTGCCCCCCCAGGTGACGGATGATGTGAAGCGGGACCTGCGCCTGCTGCGGCTGAGGGGGGCGTACGACCCCAAGCGCTTCTACAAGAGCTTCGATGAGTCGAAGTTCCCAAAGTACTTTGCGGTGAGTTTTCTGCAGGCCATGACAATTCGGGGTGCACAAAGGGCGTGGCGTGTGCCCTGTTGCTGCACGTTGCCTGGCTGCACTCGCAGGGCTGGCAGGCCGTTGAGCCGTTGACAGCCGCTTTTGTGGTCTGCTCTTTGCCATGCAAGCTCGTTTGCTTGATTTTCCATAGGATCGAGCTGTTGTCCTTGCAGTGATGCTCAGCAAGTAAGACAGGTGATTGTGCATGTATGCATGTCCATGTGTACACGTGAACACCCTGCCATCCCTCAACAGCACGCACTCACACGCACACGGACACGCATGCCATCACCCAAGCTTTTCCACAACAACAATCACACCCCTAGTTTGGCACGGTGGTGGACGACCCCTTGGACGGCCCCGAGGGCCGCCTGTCCAAGGCCGAGCGCAAGGCCACGCTGACTCAGCAGCTGCTCGCCGACGACGCCCTCAGCGCCTCGCGCAAGCGGCGATTCAGCAGGATGCAGGAGGAGGGCCAGGCGCGGGCGGCCAAGGGCAAGAGGCGCAAGACGGACAACCCCAGGAACAAGCCGTCGAAGCAGAGGCCGAAGCACTGACGCGGCGCGGCGCGCCGGCGATGGCTGCATTTGTGGGTGCTGCGGGGTCGCATGGGTGGCGGCTTACACCTAAATGAGCTGCGTTTTCAGTGCAAGGCGGCTTTTGGATTGTAACATCTGGTATGTCGGCACGTGCAGAGTGGTTCAATACATGATACACAGTATGATGTGTGGTGTAGGACACGCGTGCGATGCAATGAGGCGCAGACAAGTAAGGGGTGCAGGCAAGGGTGTCCGCCTGGGTTGAGAAGTGTTGTTCCTCAGGAGGGCAAATTGTACTTGTGAGCATCGAGTGCCCTGCCTATGCACAGACAATCGGGGTCCCTACCTTGGACCGCAAGCGGCAACAGTAGTCAAGCAGTGCAGAGATGCTATGGTGCAGGGCACGCACATGTACCGTACCTCTTCGGCACGCGCGCTAGAACACGAGGCAGATCACGGCTGCAAGGCTGTCACAAGTGATGTTGAAGCCCGAAAGGTAGCTGCCGTTGCTGCTCGCGGTCGGGTCGCCGGCGCCCCCAGACGCGCCGCTGCTGGCGGAGGACCAGCCTGCGCAATCTGCGCCCTGCGCGTAGCCGCCGCTGCTGGTGGCCCCGGTCCAAGACACGGCAGAGGTCGTGACGCCCGCCCCGGCGAACGACGCCGGCAGGGACCCATCCAGCATGTCCGCCCAGTTGGCGGCGATCGGCGCCCCGGCGGCGGACGTGATCGGCAGGTTGGTGGGGACGCCGTAGAGGGTGGGCATGGCCGCGATGGTGTCTGTCGAGGAGACGCTCAGCAGCGCGCGCGCGTTCAGGAACCCGGCGGGCCGGCCGGCGTCCGACTGGCAGGACCTGTCCGCGCCGGCGCGGCCGCCGAGGTTGCCTTGCAGGGTCGCGCCGAGGGCGTACAGCGCGACGCGAGTGGGGACGCGCACGTAGCCAGCCGGCGCCACGCCGCCCAAGGTGGCGGCGTCGATCGCGTCGCCGACGCGCAGCAGGCCGCTCGTGCTCGCGTTGACGGCCTGCAGGTCGCCCATGAGTTCTGCAATGCCCGCGCTCGCGTTCGCCTGCAGCTGCTGCAGGCCGGCCTTGAGGGACGCGACCGCGGCCGTGGTATTGGCCGCGAGCTGCTGCAAACTGACTTTGAGCGCCGCGATCGCAGCGGCCGTGTCGGCGCTGACTTGTTGGGTTGTGGCATTGAGGGCTGCCACGCTGGCCTCCAAAGCATCCACCTGCCCCGTCAGCGCCGCCAAGTCCTGCGTCAGCTGGGCGAAGGCGGCGTCTGTCGCGGTGGTGTTGGCCTGGGTCGTCGCGTTTGACAGGCCCCTGATGGCTGCGGCGAGCTTGGCCTCCAGCGCAGCAAGGGCCGTGCCGAGCTGGGAGACGGTTGCCAGCCCGCAGCCGATGTGCTGGGTAGTGGGGTCCTGGGGTGCGGGAGGAAGGGACGCGGCGCAGGGCAGCGGCGGCGTCGGCTCAGGGGAGGTGCAGGCCAAAGCGATGCAGGCGAAGCCTGGGCAGCCCTTTAGCGGGCGGCGCCTGTGCGTAATCCCCTCGGCTCACCCCTGCGCACGCATGTGCACTGAACACGTGCGCACGCATGTGCACACACATATACACACACACTCCCCCCCCCTCTCTCTCTCTCTCTCTCTGCCGCGGGTTGCGAGCAACTGAGATGTGTAGCGACACATATACGTAGTATCGCCAACCTCCACGCGCGCACCAAGGGGTCAACTGTCGCATTGGGGGGCGCCAGCAGCTCGCTGCAGATTTGGCCCACGGACGGGGCCATGTCTGGTGTGCATGACTTTCGGAGGGCCTTGATCGGCTTGCACTGCGCACCAGTAGGTGGGGCCGCCAGGCAGCAGTAGCAGCAGCAGGTGTCAATTGGGTTCAGCGGCAAGGGGCGGTGACGGGAAGTGAACACGCACGCCCGAGCCCTTCAGTTGTCGCGCCAGGTTGCAGCAGCACAGGTTCGGCAATGCGGCCAGCCAAGCGCGTGTGCATGACAAGGGGAGGCCGCGGCTGTCTGGTTGGTGCGGTCGCATTGCCGCGCGGGCGCTCACGACTGCGAGGGCTTTGATCTTCGTTGGCGTGGTGGCCGAATGTGCACTGCGCAATATCATACGAGTATAGGAGCAGGATGGTGCATAGTTACTTGGTTCCTATGGGCTCCACACGTCGATTATGTGCAGTGCAGTTGCAGATATGAAGTGCCTCCTGCCTTGCTTGTCACTTTGTGTGCATGCGTGCAGGACTGGTGTGTGCGCGCACGCTCACACACACACACACACACACACACACACACACACACACACACACACACACACACACACGGAAGGACGACATTGCCTGCAAAGCATGAACGGTCCTTGAGGGCGTCTTCATATTCATGAACAAGCGCCGCAAATCACAGTGAAGCAGGCGCGTGTCCAGCGCTCCGCTCCGCCCCCAAACTCCCGACCCGAACTTCGGCCTGCCGCCGCTCTCACGACCAGCTTGTGGCGCCGCACCTTATGACGGCAGCCAGCACCAGAAACAGCTGCAAGAGACAGCTATGGCTCGAGCGAGTGTACATTGTGCCCAGCGGGCCGTCGAGTGACCGCCGAGCGGAACAGGACTACAGGAGCCACCGGCGGGTACTCAAAAAGGGGCTTGACAAAGCAAGATGATTCTCTTGAGATCTCTGGAATGTCGGTTCGCGGCGTGGCCGCGTCCTGGTTGACGAAGTCTTGATTTGGGCATGGGCACCTCCGTCCGCCAGCCCGTCATCCACAGCTCCAAGTATCTCCAACGTGTACATAATACTGTGCATAAGCACGGCGCGGGACTGCGGTCACTCGAGCGCACCACGCAGCGTCGCAGCTACAGTGGGAAGTGAGTCAAGGTCACTCAGTCGGGTCAATTATTCCCCGGCTACCGGCATGTCCACGGATTGTTTTAATCTGCCGACGAGTACCAGGCTCTGCTTGCATGATCCGGGGCACTCCATTTGTCAGTGCACATGGCTTGACGTGACGTCCCAGATGGAGGGGCCGGCACGAGCGGTGAGTGCCACCGCCCACACACCGCTCACACTGCCCAACGCAGTCGTCCCGCGTGCTTGCGTCTACATGCGCGGGTGGTGCTGGGCCAATACGCAGCGGCGAAGGATATGGGCCAGCAGGGCTGTACAATTAGATCGGTGGAGCCAAGCATGCCCGCTGTGATGCATACCCCCGTGCATGCCACCTGCCCACGTGCTGCATACTCTCCACCCCTTGTTGGGGGGGGACACAGAGCTGCAGGGCCTTCCATCCAGCGCATCCATCGGCGGAATTTAACAGTTGACGTGTAAGCATGCGTACGTATGACGTTACGTATGGGCTTCTGGTCACACTGGGTGATCCGCCGGCTGCACACCGCAGACCTCGCGTGTTCAGCAGACTATGGCAGATACTTGATACTGCAAGCAAGCACAGCAGGACTGCTGCCCCAAATAGCCTGTGGAATGTGAAGCATGCTTGCAGCAGGGTCACGAGGCTGGCAGGACTGGCTGTATCGCAGAAGAGAAGTTGATGGCGACTTGACGCATCGAGGTGCAGCAAAGATGACGCATGCAGCAGCCGCGGCAGACAGGAGTCTGTCGTTGCTGCCTATCCAAGGGACGACCCTTTCTACTGCACACACACCGCCCGATGTGCGCTCGCCTGCCACAAGCGTCAGACCGCCCCGCTGCCCCGCGAGGCCTGCTGGCTGCGCGCCTCATAAATCGTGAGCCCCACTGCGGCTCAATCAGTTGTGACCAAGGGGTTCCTTTGTGGCCCTCCGCCACCGCAGCCCGTTACCAACTGCACAGCGCGTGTGGTTACAAAAGCGCACGTGCTGCCGCCGCGCGTCGCACCCAAACAGGTCAAACGAGCCGCAGCGCCGCCAGCAAGCCGGCAAACGGGCCGCGCAACCTAGAGCGATGGCCCGCCAACAGCCTGGCGATGCGACCATGTACGACGCGCCACGCGTGCTCCGTCGCAGCTGCCCCAGCAGGGCGGCACTGCGTGCGCCGTCCAGCTGTGCGCCGCAACGAGAAGCTCGCCCCTTAGACGATGGAGTTGGCGGCGCTGGCGATACGGGGCCACAGGTCGGCGCACTCCTTGGCGACAGGGCCAGTGATGGCCGAGCCTGGGGTGTTTTGGGGGTATTAGAGATGAGGAGGGAGTGGGTTGTACCTCAAAGCGTCCACTGTGTTGGGCCACAGACCGGCGATCAAGCGGCCGCGGCCACACTGCTGCGCCCAATCAGCAGCCGGCATTTGACGGACGCGGCTGCCATGCGTTTGCCGGAATGTTGCGCGCTGTTGCTGCTTCAACACAAGCTGCCAATCATGTTGTTGAGACACAGCGCCTGGCATGTGCGCCGCGCCGTGCCACCAGCATAACGCCACTGCTTGCGCCCCCAAACGAGGGATGCGCTGCCTCCGCCCAGCACGGGCCGAATCCCTGCAAGTGCAAGGCTCTCCCTGTGCTTGGCTGCCATTGCCATTGGGCCCCACTGACAGCTGCCTGGCAGCGTGGCGCCCTCTGTCATGTGTCCAGCCCGCCATTGCTATCACCATTGCCACTGCCGCCACGCTGCTGTTGCAGCAGGGCGTGGCAGCCGTCCTCTGCTGCAATCAACATCATCATCCCCAAGCGCCGGCCCCACCCGGCCATCCCCATTTACGCGATGCTTAACAGCGCTCACCCTTCATCTCGCCCTTGGGATTGACAATGACGCCTGCATTGTCCTCAAAGTAGATGTAGGTGCCCTCCTTCCGCCGCCACGCCTTGCGCTGGCGCACCACCACCGCCGGGGTCACTGCGCACGGCACAGCGCGCCGATGCAGCAGCAATGAGCTGGACGGCGTGCTGCGCAGTCACCCCACACCCCCCGTCCCCTATACAGCGCACACTCGCTGTTGTCACGCGGCTACGACCCCTCGTCGGTCCAGCAACTATATTGATCGCACAGATCTACGCTGGCGCAGCAGCAGCCGCTGCGCCACCATTGCGCTGCTGCACCCGCTCACCCTTCTTGCGCAGGTCAGGCTTTCCCTTCTTCACGCTGGCCATGAACATATCACCGCACGATGCGGAAGGCAGCTTGTTCAGCCTGGAGCCCCAGCCGCACACGGAGATGACATAGAGGTTCTTGGCGCCCGTGTTGTCCGCGCAGTTCATGACGGCGGCCACGGGAAGGCCCACCGCCATAGCGAACTTGTTGCCAGACGTGCCACCGCGCCCGCGCTTCGACATGGTTGCTGCTTCTGCGCGCAGGGGAGGGCCGGCTTCTCAGCACAAGCTACCGAGCTATCGGGGCTGCTCCGCAATTCCGCAAATCCACACCTTTTAGCCTGGCCAGTTGCCTATTGAAAGAGGCAGGTTGTCACGCACGCGCCGCTCTTGCTGCACGGCGCGCCGTCTGCTCCCCTGCCGCCTGCCGTAAATGCAGAGCCAGCATATGCGTGTTATGCGGGTCCATGTGCTAGTAAAGTAGCACGAATGAATGGTTGGGACCGCCCTGCATGGAGGTTGATTGCCGCCGCAGCTTGTCTGTTGCCAACTGAGTGCCGTCGTTTCAAGCGCCGAAACTCAGTTGAAGGGTGGGTCTCCCTCCTTGCCCGCCCCCAGCCGACTTCGTGCCATGTGCGTCAGCCATACGTTTCCAACGCATTATCCTAGTTCGCATGTGATCCGCCCAGCGATCACACACGTCTAGCGGCGCCGCGGCCAACAGGGCCCTCAGGGACGCCTTGCCTGCAGGGCCAAGCGGCCCGCCTCCTGCAGCTGCCCTGCCAACAGCACCTGATGGCTGTGCGCCCTTACCTCCACCCTAACCCCAAGTTCCAACGGCGACCGTATGGTGCCAATGTGCAGCCCCGAAGAGCATGGTGCCTGGCGCTGCGGCTTCGTCTGTGCTGCACCTAACGCCATCATGCAGGGCGTGGTCGCAAGTGGTTGACTGCTTGCACAGGGTAGCTATGGAGATTGGTTGCGTGACAATGCAAGGGGTGAGCAAAAGGTTGCCTCGATGCACAAGCGCAGCCCCAACCGATGACCACGCCATGCTCGGACGACGCGCTCACTGCTGCCTTACTGGCGTGCGCTCGTGGCCTGATCATGGCGCCATGGTAATGTCATTCCCAAATGACCGTGCATGTGCGTGCGTAACGCGCAGCCTTATGCTGGCTGCCGGCGGCCATGGCCTGGGCGGGCGCTGCCAAAGGATGGAAAATGCTTGATATCCCACGTGCTGTCAAAAACTCATCAGCAACTCAGCCATTGCTCTCATGCACATTTGCTCTCACGCAAAAAGCAGCACGAAATGCGCTCAATCCACTCGCAAGAGGAAGGAGCTGCGACCTTGCTTGCTCAACTGCCAAGCTGCCCCCAAGGTCGCAATGACAAGCGGCTCCCGCAAGCCCCAACTGCAGCTGCACATCAGGAGAGTACATATACTTGACAACACAGCGACGAGTCATTCCTGCTCGGCTTTTTACACACCAGATGGACGGGAAAGGCCTCACCCTACAGCTCACAAGCGCCACACGCAACCGCCCAGACGCGCGCCCAGGGCCCCTTCGATTTTGGGGCTATCCGGCGTCGCGCAACGCTCCTCTTCGCCGTCGCGCCGCCGCCGCATCCTTGAGGCGCTGGTTGCTCGACGCCCCCCGTTCACAGGTCCCTTCATTGGGTCACCTTGACTTGTCACCGCTCCCCGAACCGGACGACGGCGGTCTGCAGGTAAGCCATGGAAATCAGCACCGCCTCCTCGGTCCTAATCGTCCGGCTGCCCTGGCCCGGGCAGGTGTTCAGGTACAGGTCAAACACGTCGGTTGTTGACTGCTTGGTAAACCGCTTGTCGTGGGCCAGGCAGTCCTCCAGGCCCTCGGGGCCGCCGAACGCGATCAGCAGGTGCTTGAAGCGCGGCAGCTCCAGGTTCCCGGGCAGCACCACCTGTCGATTCGAATATAAAGTGGGCAGGGTGATCTGGTGACCCAGGGAGCTATTTGGGGTGAAAAGCAGGCAATGGGAGCGGGCAGCGCATTGGGGTGGCCTGTTGTCGACGCCAGCAACCCACAGCGGCAGCCGCGCCACACTCCACCATCCCCGCTCTCCCCCCGTTTCGCCACCCCCCCCCCCAAAA